GCAGACGGCACAGGATAATAAAAACAAAGACAAATAGACTGAAAAATAGTTTTTTATCCTAGAGCTGTAATCATATTAAATACCACTGTATAGTGCAACATTGATGTGCAATATTAGGGGCAGCGCAATGGTGAACAGAACGTGGAGGATGTGTGCACATAATGTATGTTCTTATTTGTGGTTTTGATTTGTGTGTAGTGTGCACTGTGGACAGCACTTTTGTTATGAATTACACAATGACAAAGATATTCTATTCTATATCATATTGCTTATTCTATTCTGTTCTATTCTATTCTATATCATATTGCTTATTCTATTCTCTTCTATTCTATGCTATTTCCTATTGCTTATTCTATTCTATTCTATTCTATTCTATTCTATTCTATTCTATTCTATTCTATTCTATTCTATTCTATTCTATTCTATTCTATTCTATTTTCTATTCTGTTCTATTCATCATTCCATTCCATTCCATTCCATTCCATTCCATTCTATTCTATTCTATTCTATTCTATTCTATTCTATTCTATTCTACATCATTGCTTATTATCTTCTCTTCTCTTCTCTTCTCTTCTCTTCTATTTCCTATTGCTTATTCTATTCTATTCTATTCTATTCTATTCTATTCTATTCTATTCTATTCTATTCTATTCTATTCTATTTTCTATTCTATTCCATTCATCATTCCATTCCATTCTATCCTATCCTATCCTATTCTATTCTATTCCCCCTCCTAAGCAATGCCCATTCATTCACATGGAACAAGTGAGCCCCACTGAGCTTCATTAGTAGGATAGCAGCTCTGCAAAAAACAGGGCACTTCTAGGAAATCCATCTTTCTTTTCATTACCTGTTCTATATGTATAGAAAGAGAGACACGGTAGTTATCACCATTCAGTTAGAAGCTGTCTGGGAAATTCCACTCTGATTTGCTGAGTTTATCTCAGCCGGAACGCAGAAATGCCGAGAATGTAAACAAGCCTTCGGCCTCAGCAGATGCAAACAGGCCAGCGATAAGAGGGAACCGGGTCTTGTTTTCTGAGAAGGGAGTACGGCCGTGCAAGAGATGATGAAGGATTAAATCTGAATGGGTATAAATTCCGAGCTACCTCTGCTTCCTATTCGGAGATGATCCACTATCTATCACGACTCTTATTTCCTGGAATACAATCAGGAGATAATTCTAGTTGTGTTTGTCCTTGTCCCCGGGAGACAAATGTTAATTTGTTCATTTTATCCTATTCAACCTAGTCACTGGTTCACTAATGAATTCACCACTATGAACCATATAAAATATTTGTTGTTGTTAGTTGCGAAGTCGTGTCCGACCCATCGTGACCCCATGGACAACGTTCCTCCAGGCCTTCCTGTCCTCTACCATCTTCTGGAGTACATTGAAGCTCACGCCTGCTGCTTCAGGGACTCCATCCAGACCCCTCCTTCTCTGTCGTCCCCTTCTTCTCTTGCCCTCCATCTTTCCCAGCATCAGGCTCTTCTCCAGGGAGTCCTTCCTTCTCATTAGGTGGCCAAAGGACTTGGGTTTCAACTTCAGGATCTGGCCTTCTAAAGAGCAGTCGGGGTTGATCTCCTCTAGGACTGACCGGTTGGATGGCCTTGCAGTCCAGGGGACTCGCAGGAGTCTTCTCCAGCACCAGAGTTCAAAGGCCTCCATTCTTTGGCCTTTCTCAGCCTTTCTTATGGTCCAGCTTTCACAGCCATACATTGCAACTGGGAAAACCATGGCCGTGACTCTACGCACTTTTGTTGGCAGGGTGATGTCTCTGCTTTTGAGTATGCTGTCTAGATTTGCCATAGCTTTCCTCCCCAGGAGCAAGCGTCTTCTAATTTCTTGGCTGCAGTCCCCATCTGCGGTGATCCTGGAGCCCAGGAACCTCCATATTAAATAAAAATTTAAAAAATTATTGGTAGCCTTCCAGCCTGCAGTTGAGCCCACAAGTTCAGTCATTAAGTCGTTGCGGTCACGGCCAGACCCAACTTTACGACAGGTTTTTGCAGTGCTCGTTAAGCAAATGATGTGATTGTTAAGCTAATCTGTTATATCCAGCGGGCTCTTTTTTTTTTTTTTTTTTTGCTGGAAACTGAGAGCAAACCCCAGAAATTGGCAAAAACTATCGGAAATTGCAGTCATGTGACCCGCGGGGCACCCTGCAAACGGCTGTAAAGGTGAGCCAGTGGCCCGATGCCCAAAATATGAACACATGACAGTGGGGGGAGGGGTGGGTGCAGCCATCATACCTTTCGGAGGGTCGTAACTTTGAACTGTCGCTAAGCGATCGGTTGTAAATCGAGGACTACCTGCCCTTTCCCAATAGTTTCGTGTGACAAAGGGCCCAAGCGGTAGATGGAGTTACACTGACGCAAAATATGAACAAGGATGCTTTAGCGAAACGAGGAACTGTAGTGTTTATAGATCAGGATTTGCTCAGGCTGTTATGAGATAGATGCCTGAATGGGAGTTTGTTTATTGTCTAGTGGCTGGTGAAGAGAAAGGATAGGATCAAGTAACAGGCTTTAGCTAATGGGATTTTCAGAGGGAAAATGGAGTTGCAGGCTGGTGCCGTGTGCGGTAAGAGCCGGATAGGGTGGGAATAAAAGCCCGAGTGAGCCTCAACAGGATGCTTAGCAAATGGTTCAAAATCAGGCAACAAGACAAAGAGGTGTGATATCTGGTTGGCTGGTAAATGTTGTTGATGGATAAATGGATAAGACATGCTTTTTCGGTGTCACAGGTGAGCGTGTTAGGAATGTGAATACACCTGCGCTCCTGCACAAAAGCAATTGAAGGAGAGGCTGAATGGTTTGCATTGAATTTTAGAGAGACTGAGTGACGCAACGAGGATGAAGGATCGGATAATAAACGATCAGATCACGTTTCACTGGGGAAACGGCGTGAACAATTGCAAGTTCTCCACAAATACTCGAGGAGATGAATTTGCCTGTTTTGTTAAAAGTTTATACTACTAAAGATAGGAAAAATAAATGGAGACGTGTCCAGATGTGCATATGCCGGCAGAACAGGGAGCGGGGACACGTGTGCTTTGAGAAAGGAATGGTGTGGCTGAAAAGGGGGGGAGTGTAAGTGTGCTTCTGTCGACTTTGATGTATGGAAGCGAGACCTGGGCACGTCCAGGGAAACATAAAAGTAAGTTAAGTGTAATGGGGTACTTAAGAAATGTGTGCGGTCAAAGAAGATGAAGAGAGAGGGTCAAGGACGAATGGGGGCTCGGCAAATATAACTGGGATGAAAAAAGAAATGTCTGCTATGATGGGTGGCTGTTAGAGAGAGAGAGAAGCAGTGAGGATCAAATCTCGAAAGAAATAAGGGGAGGAGGGGGCAGAGAGATTGAGCCACACTGAGTAAATTGTGGGTGGAGCGGGAGTGGGATCCTGAAAGAGAGGGCAGAAGATTCAAAGACCAGAGGCAGCAGGTTAAGGAGTCCCGGGCTGAGAAGGAAGCAAACATTAGTCCTGGTGGTGCAGTGGTTAAATGCAGTTTTAAGGCTGACTCTGCCCACTGCCAAGAGTTTGATCCTGACCGGCTCAAGGTTGACACAGCCTTCCGTCCTTCCGAGGTCGGTAAAATGAGGACCCAGATTGTTGGGAGCAAGAGGCTGACTCTGTAAACTGTTTGGAGAGGGCTGTGAAGCACCATAAAGCAGTATATAAGTCTATTCTATTCTATTCTATTCTATTCTATTCTATTCTATTCTATTCTTATTCCTATTCCATTCCATTCCATTCCATTGCTATGGTGGTGCAGTGGTTATAATGCAGTATTGCAGGCTAACTCTGCCCACTCCCAGCAGTTCGATCCTGACCAGCCCAAGGTTGACTCAGCCTTCCATCCTTCTGAGGTTGGTAAAACGAGGACCAGATTTTTTTGGGGGGGGGGAGGGGGCAAGAGGCTGATATTTGTGAACCACTTAAAGAGGGCTACAAAGCATTGTGAAGTGGTATATAAATCTAGGTGCTATTATTTCAAGAATAAAACTGAATGGGGGTTGGTGTAAATGGGTTTTAAGCTCTGTCTCCTTTCGGCTGGTTGTTTGTTACACCTTTTCTGCACTGTTCATAACGTCGCTTATCCCGAAAGCAAATTAAACCTGCCTCCACCAACTGGCCTGGGAGCCCGATAGGTTTTCTGTTTTAATGTGTTGGGTCCAGCCTAAGCAGTTCCCTATCATCACTTTAAAGAAGTGTTTCTCAGCCTTAGCAACTTGAAGATAGGTGGACTTCAACTCCAAGAATTCCCCAGCCAGCTCTGCCATCTTTAAGTTGCTAAGGTTGAGAAGCACTGCTTAAAGCAAGAATCAGAAGAGGGTTATCCAGAAATTACTGAACTACGAGTCCTAGGTAGCCCAGCCACAGAGTACAGCTGAGGACCAGAACTGAATATCCCTACTTAATATTCATATTGTTGAAGGTCTCCAAATTAAACCTTCAAAAAAAAGAGAGAGAGAGAGGTTCAGTGGACAGCTTCCACTCCTTGTGAAATGCGGTGCAAACACATTTGTCTGGTAGGGCAGGGGTCCTCAACCATGGCAACTTTAAGACTTGTAGACTTCAACTCCCAGAATTCTGGGAGTTGAAGTCCACAAGTCTTAAAGTTGCCAAGGTTGGAGACCCCTGCTGTATATAGTGTACATTTTTCCCCCTGAGTTCACATGGTTACATTGACCACCAGGGGGCATCATGTAACCGGTTTCATCTTTTCTCGGGAGTCTTTGGCTATGGAGAGCCAGATATTCATTCTCTAGGGCTGTGATTCCCTTAACGACCGTGGCAAGAAAAGTCGTCAGCATGGGGCGAAACTCACTTAGCAAATGTCTCGCTTAGCAACATAAATTCTGGGCTCCGTTGTGGTCGTAAGTCGAGGACCCCCTGTGTTCTCCTCTAGCGGGCGATCGTCTCCCCGTGAGCGTGTGAATCCCTAACCCCGGCTCAACCTCCCTTCCCGCCCGCTCGTGTCTCCTCTGCAGGGAAAGAGGAATTCGTGGCGACCTTCAAAGGGAACGAATTCTTCTGCTACGACCTTTCTCACAACCCCATCCAGAGCAGCACCGACGAGATCACCCTCTCCTTCCGCACCCTCCAGCGCAACGGCCTGATGCTCCACACCGGGAAGTCGGCCGACTACGTCAACCTCTCGCTCAAGAGCGGCGCCGTCTGGCTGGTGATCAACCTGGGCTCCGGCGCCTTCGAGGCTCTGGTGGAGCCCGTGAACGGCAAGTTCAATGACAACAACTGGCACGACATCCGTGTGACTAGAAACCTGCGCCAGGTGAGCGGCTGCTGCCCGTGCAGTCTCAGTCCGTGGGAGGGGCTGGGAGGGTGGGGGCCACACGCCCGGCTTGGGACTGCATCAGGAATCCTTTTTTTTTGGAGTTGCTGTGCAGATTTTCCCCATATACCAGACACCAGCAAGAGACTTAAAAAAACAACAACAACAACAATTCCCCTGTTTGGGATACAAAACCTGAGAGGCTGGCTAAATTCTCTAACTGCTTCTCAGCAACGGGTTGTGTTACTTTCGGTAAAAGGGAGACAAATTCCCAAAGCGCCCGAGTTTTAATGTTATGCGAAGGAACTTTGGAAGGGGACACATCTGAAATAACAGACTGATTCTTTATTTTCAAAGTCATGTCTGGAAACTTGTGTGTGTCATTTACCTCATTTGCACAATTATTGGTATTCTTATACCGTTAGTCTCCATATACGACATTTGCGTAATTAGGTAACTGTGCAGATGACTTGGGTTCCAAACTTTTGTATTTAACAGACAGCCTTGAACTGTCTGTTAAATCCAAAGTTTTACTCTCTTGCAAGGGACGTCAGTCTTTTCAGCTGGGGCAAGCGTTATTGTTACGGTTACTCTTCCTGTTGTTATCACTGTTGAAAGCTGCAGGATCTGTGGCAGCAACGCCAGGGGAGTGACGCTGCAATTTTCAGCTCTCTTCTCCCCGATTTTGTGGTTTTTTTTAAAAAAGAGCAAAATAATCCCAAATCAGCCATTTTTACTCCTTATTTTAAAGTACGAAAAGGAGTGGATTGCCTCGCTGCATTTTAGTGCCGCGTGGCTTATGGGCAGCGCGTTCCCCCGTTGCAGCCACAGGTCTTTCATTTCTACCAAGTTCTATAAAGCAGCTTGATACCCGGAAAACAACTTTATTTTAAGTTACACGACATGGTAATTGCCGAGGCCAGTTGAATGTTTTAACCCCATTTTTCTGACTTTTTTCTGATGATGTCTGGACTTGAAGCAAGTCCGCCTTTCCAGGGTCTGCAACCCATGATGCCCAGTAGCGAAACATGGCCTTGAACATAAAGGGTTGTTTTGGCCTTGATATTTGGCATGTGGGGAAGAAAGAAGAGAATTCTGTGAAATCTAAGGGTAAATAACAGGTGGGGCTCTCTCTCTATCTCTGTATAGGCCAGTGTTTCTCAACTCTGGCCACTTCAAGACATGTGGACTTCAACTCCCAGAATTCCCCAGCCAGCATGTTGAAGTCCAAACTTGCTGGCTGGGGAATTCTGGGAGTTGAAGTCCACACCTCTTAAAATTGCTAAGGTTGTGAAACAGTGGTATATAGACCCTTCCAGAACCAATTGGCAAGGGGACACCCACAGTTTAGCTAAAGCTACAGGTGTGAAGGTATGCTCCAAGGAACATAATGCACGGCATAAGGCAGCAAGGAACATAATGCATGGCATACTGAGTGAGGGCTTTTGGGGCCTTGAATAAATGGCTGGCCTTGCCCCTAACTCATTTCAGGTATCTTTTGGGCATGCAGTGAGGGGGAAACCGTCCCCCCTGTCTGCCCAAAGTAGCTCAAACTTCACCCAGCTGCAGAACTGGTTGCCTGGAAAACACAGCCCACCTGCGGTAGGCAGCGAATTCTGGAAAGAATGGGTGGTGGGCCTCCCAATGGGGAGTTTGCAGGGCTGTTGTTTAAAAAACAGCTGATCTGATTAAAAATCTATACTCTGTAATGATAGCTGGAGGCTGGAAAATCCAGAGCAGGGAAGAGGGAGGTGCCAGGAAGTATTAATAATGAAATAAGACAATCTGGAGCTTTTAAACAAATAATCTATTTTTTAAAAAA